GCAGCAGCAGCAGCAGCAGCAGCAATGCGATTGGCAGCAGCAGCACGAAGAGCAACAGCAGATGTGACCCTATCCAAAACAATAATATCATGGCAGCCCTAGTTAGCAGCAGCAGCAGCAGCAGCAGCAATAAGGGGAACAAAAGCAGCAACTGCAGCAGTAGCAGCGGCAACAGCAGGAATAGCAGCAGCAGTAACAACAGCAGCGACAAAAACAAAAACAGCAGCAGCAGAAACAACAGCGACAACAAAAACAGAAATAGCAACTGCAGCAGCAAAAACAGGAGGATCAGTCGCTGCAGGAGCAGCAGCAATAAAAGCAATAACAGCAGCAGCAGCAGCAGAAGCAGCAGCAGCAGCAGCAGCATACTGGCATCTCTGAGTGTGGCTTTGTTTCTGGCCATGAGTTTGGCATGGGCTTGGCAGAGGCGGAGAAGACTTTCTAAGAATCTTGGGGTGAGTCCAGCAGCAGAAACGAGAGGAGCAGCAGCAGCAGCAGCAGCTGCAGCAGCAGCAGCAGCAGCAGCAGCACGCAGCGCAGCGTAGTAGCGACACAGCAGCTGCTGCGCCTGCTGCGTCAGCTGCGGCCGAAAGCGCTCGCGGGCAAAAGAGAGATAAGCTTTGACAAGAGAGGGGCACCACGGCAGCAGCAGCGACTCTGCTGCTGCTGCTGCTGCTGCTGCTGCTGCTGCTGGGGTTGCTGGTGCTGGCGCTGCGGCGGAGCGGGGCGTCGCTGCGGTGCTGACAGCAGCAGACGCAACCCAGGGAGCCACTGCGCTGCTGTTGGTGCTGCTGCTGCTGCTGCTGCTGCTGCTTGCTGCTGTCACCTGTCCACAACACGCAAGTAAAGCGTACGGAGCACAGGGGAGTGCAGCAGCAGCAGCAGAGACAGCAGCGATGACAGCAGCAGCAGAAACAGCAGCGCTGACAGCAGCAGCAGCAACCCTAACAGCAGCAGCAGGAGCGGCAGCACCCAGAAATCAGCAGCAGCAGCGGCGCAGCGGAGGCCCTATCAAAAGCAGCAGCAGCCGCGACAGCAGCAGCAGCTGTAACAGCAGCAACAGCAGCAGCAGCAGCAGCAGTACATTGCCTAAAATTGCGTCAACGACTTGGGGAGTTGCTGCTGCTGCTTCCGGCAGCAAAACAAGAACGTCAAAACGAGAGAGAAGAGGAGGAGACAAACGAGAAAAGACTGAGGGGCAGCTAAGCAGCGAATACGCGCTGCTGCTGCTGCTGCTGCTGCTGCTGCTGCTGGGGTTGCTGCTGCGGGGGTTTGGGGCGGGTGCGGCAGCTTGGAAGAAGGCAGTGCCCGAGAGCGCTGCTGCTGCTTCTGCTGCTGCGTCTGCTGCTGCTGCTGCTGCTGCTGCTGTGTCGACAGCAGCATGAGCAGCAGCAAAGACAGAACAGCGCGTATTCAAACTGCATACGACGCCGGCCTAAAAAGCAAATAACAATTAAATAAACAATTAAATAATAATTGCTAATTTAATACACAAATAAATAATAAAACTAGCGACTAAATCTATTAATATTTCCATTTTTTTTGAGCCAAGCACCAGCAGAAATGAGGCGCGGAGGAGCAGCAACTGCAGCAGCGACTGGAGCAACAACTGCAGCAGCAACTGGAGCAGCAAGTGCAGCAGCCGCTGCAGCAACAACTGCAGCAGCAACTGCAGCAGCAACTGCAGCAGCAACTGCAGCAGCAGCTGCAGCAACAACTGCAGCGGCAACTGCAGCAGCAGCTGCAGCAGCAACTGCAGCAGCAACTGCAGCAGCAGCTGCAGCAGCAGCTGCAGCAGCAACTGCAGCAGCAACTGCAGCAGCAGCTGCAGCAGCAGCTGCAGCAGCAACTGCAGCAGCAACTGCAGCAGCAGCTGCAGCAGCAACTGCAGCAGCAACTGCAGCAGCAGCTGCAGCAGAAACTGCAGCAGCTGCTGCAGCAACAACTGCAGCAGCAACTGCAGCAGCTGCTGCAGCAACAACTGCAGCAGCAGGCGCAGCACAGCTGCTGCAGCAGCAACTGCAGCAGCTGCTGCAGCAGCAACTGCAGCAGCAGGCGCAGCACAGCTGCTGCAGCAACAACTGCAGCAGCAGGTGCAGCAGCAGGTGCAGCAGCAGGTGCTGCAGCAGCAGGTGCAGCAGCAGGTGCAGCAGCAGGTGCTGCAGCAGCAGGTGCAGCAGCAGGTGCAGCAGCAGGTGCTGCAGCAGCAGGTGCAGCAGCAGCAGCGGACCTTTGCTGCTGAAACGGTTTGCTGCTCCATGGCCTCCAAGACGCACAGCTGCGTCTCCTTCTTAATTGCTGCTACATCATCGATGCAGCAAATGCCTCCGTCGGACAGCACGAGGGCCCCCCCCTCGAGGCCCCACTCGCCGCCGCCCTCAGCAGCAGCAGCAGCAGCAGAGTCCCGCACTGCAGCACAAGTCAAACCTGCTGCGCTGCACCCAAAGCCTGAGCAGCAGCAGCAGCAGCAGCAGAGTCACGCAATGCAGCGCGAGTCAGCCCTGCTGCGATGCACCCGAAACTTCAGCAGCAGCAGCAGCAGCAGCACAGGTCAGCCCTGCTGCGCTGCACCTGGAACCTAACCAGCAGCAGCAGCAGGTCAAACGTTGACAACAACAGCGCAGCACCCGAAGCAGCAGCGGCAACAGCAGCAGCAGCAAAAGGGAAGGACGTGCAAACGGGCAGTTATGGGCTGCTGCCGCCGCTGCTGCTGCTGCTGCTGCAGCTGCTGCCGCTGCTGCCGCAGCTGCTGCTGCTGTTGCTGCTGCTGCTGCTGTTGCTGCTGCTGCCGCAGCTGCTGCTGCAGCTGCTGCTGCTGCTGTTGCTGCTGCTGCCGCAGCTGCTGCTGCAGCTGCTGCTGCTGCTGTTTACCTGAGACAGAAACCGCATGCGTAGAGAGCTGTGCTGCAGTTTGCAGCAGCTGCGACTTGCCGGTGCTGCTGTCGCCCAGTAGCAGCAAATGGATCGAGTGCCTCTGTCTGCTGTTGCTGCTGCTGCTGCTGTTGCTGCTGCTGCTGCTGCTGCCGCAGGTAGAGTCCCCTTCTGCGTCCACAGCGCTGCTGCTGCTGCTGCTGCTGCTGTTCTGCTGCTGCTGATAGCGGTCCCAGCGGCTGCTAGAAGGGGTCTGCTGCTGCTCTGCTGCAGCAGCACTAGCAGCGTCTGAACCGCCTGCGAAACAGCAGCAGCAGTAGCAGCAGCAGCAGCCGTAGAGAGCAGCAACAAGCAACAACCACGAGGCCGACGGCGGCAGAAAAGTCTCTCGCAGCAACAGCAGCAGTAGCAGCAGCGTGTGCATCTGAAGGAAGCACTGACAAGACGGCAGCAGCAGCAGCAGCAGCAGCA